AAATCCAAGAAGTAATGACAGCAGAGCTTGTGGTGGATCCTAGTGAAAGAGCGTTTTCAAAATATAGTAGTTGTTAAGTTTGTCTTACATTGTTCCTACACGTTCCTTCTGTACTCTTTTGTATGTTGTTTTATACTACTTGTTTATATTCAGTAAGCAGTTGCATGCCCAACAATTTTCAAGCTTATGTTGTAACTCAAGTTGTACTGTAACATTCTGAAATGTTCACATATATCTTTAACGTTTATTTTACTTATCATTGTATTTATCATTATAATCACTGTAATTTAATTACTGTAACGGTTATCCACAGTTTTGTGCATTTGTTTAAACGCAACAGTTTTCATATTGTTTGCTGTTGGTTCGAGTTTCGGTTGCTCATAAACAGTTATCCAATTTAGACACAGCTATCGGTTGTCTTTGTGCTATCGAAGCCTTTGTTATTTTCATTCTTGAAGGACGCGTTTAAACGCCTAGACACCTCACAAGTTGAGGTTTGTAACTAGATTTTGTGTACTATTTAATAAAGAACCGCTTTTGTAGACAAATCGTTGTTTTGGAACTTCGATTTTGCTCGTATCTCAATCGGGGTTACTTGGACGCTTTGATAGAAAACACAGCTACTAATGACACACTAAAAAAATATCAACATTGCTGGTCGAAGCGTCCGTTTATGAACAAGGCAAAACAGTAAAAAATGGCACTCACAACAAAGTGGAATATTAACTAACAAAATGATAACAATTTAATACAACATAAGTGTTACTTGTAAGCTTCTTCTGAAGTACCAACACCAAGCGAATTTATTCGATTAACGAAGGTTCCTCTGCAAGAAGTGAAATTAACGGCCTGATGAGACAGACAAATCTGACTGTAGTGTCATAACATCACCAAAATCTTCAATCACAGGCCGTGGTCAGTGAAAAAAGAAGAACAGACAAATAAAATAGAGTTTGTTTAAATTACACTGGTAGTGTGAGTATTAATTAGCTAGTCAATTATGTCCGTCTTTATTGATACAAATAAACAATAGCTCTTGGATATGTATATACCTCAACAGTGGTGAAGGCCACTTAGGATGAAGCGAAGGTTACTCATGCTGGTGTCTGAGTTCCTCATCCTTACTGGTCAATCAAAGCGCTTAGCGAGTAACAACACCTTCAAGATTTGCTACCCCTTACGAGATTAAGATATCACCTAAAACCGGTGAACGGAACAAAGTCAGCAACACAACAACAGGATAAGCGCATGTCCTTGAAGTTCACTGGCACCTTGAACGTTTGTCGCCGTTATAGAAGCAGCCGCCTTCAGGAACGCAGGATGATTCGTCACTGCACTTTTTCTTGAGTATGGAATACGGGTAGGTTGAGGATATCTATCAGGATTTCGAGTAGGAGATTTTCTTCTCTTGATAGGCGATCTGGGACTAGCTGTTTCTGTAACTGATTTTGGTGCTGAGCGCACCTGTCGACTCTCAGATCTACCTTGTACATCACATTCCCAACCCTTCTGCCCACACATTCTTCAGTCTAGAAGCCATGGTTTAGTCTGTAGTCCCGAGCGAACATCGAACATCCAGCCTCGTACGTTCCCACCTCCTAGGGCTTGGTTTGTGGTGGTGTGGTTCTCGAGAGAATCGTGTTGTAGATCGTCATCAGCCTTCTTCCCATGAACGCCTCTTCTGGCGACAGCTGCTCTGGTAGAGTACCACTTAAAGTCGTTCGATAAACAAATATGAATTTCGGTAGTAATTAGATTGGCGTCCCCTCCCATAAGTGTCCACAAACCTTTCTTGCTGGCCATTTGACTGTGGATGGTGAGGGATAGAGTAGAAATGTTTATTGACTAGCCGTCAAGAGAATTTTTGAAGTTGGCTTGAAGTGAACTGCTAACCATTATCTGCTACGAATACATCAGGCAGTCATTTTCGGGATAAGAATCCCGTCAGACACTGTGTCGGTTTGGTCGTTGTTGGTGGCATGATGGGGAGGATCCCCGGCAATCTTGAAAACGCATCGACTAAGACTAAAGAAGTAGTTTCATTTATTTGGCCACCGAAGTCGACATGTATCCTAGACCAGGGATACTTAGACTGTGGCCATGAACCTGCAGTACTTTAGCGTTGAACTTCACCGCTTGCTGACATTGTGTGCATTTGCCTACCAACTCCATAATGTGCTGGTCCATAAGAGGTCAATAAGCATAACTTCGAGCTTTGGACTTCATTCGTTTCACACCAGGATGATGAACATCAAACTGCATCATCGCCTTTGATTGTAGCGATTCTAGCACCACCACTCTCCAAACACCAACTATTCGTCCACGCCGCATAATGAATCCTGACGATAGTAAAGTTACTTCATATCACAATCAAAACCAGTAGACGGTCAGTTGTTAGTGACGTAGTTCATCGTTTTCCCAATGGTTGAGTCGTTCCTGGAATCAGCTTATATCTCTGATGTTAACAATCGCAAAGCACGAGTGATAGTTTTCAGGTAACAGTCGGCAAGGCGATAACCATATCCTCCTCTACCGTAGCATGTTCACTAATAAGTTGTAACAATGCATTTGACTGACTAAAATTTTGGCTGCGTCGGTATTAAATGTCGAAGTTATAACCTAAAATCGCCAAAATTCAACACTGGGGACGGTTTGCAGAATGGAATGGAATGCCAGATTTATGGCCGGAAATAGTGGGAAGAGGCTTGTGATCCCCCAGGATACTCAATAGAATGGCATTTATCAGTTGCTAGAAAATAGATTGGTCAGTCTTTACTCCAAATGGTAGACGATTATTTTGAAACAAACCATGATGAGTAATAATGGTAAGTAGGTCTCTCGATTATCCAGCCACTTATGCCTGTAAATGACCATTATCAAGGACCAGCTTTGCGAAGAACTTCCCATCATCTAGCATAGTGAAAAAGTCTGTGGGAACTGGCAGAGAGTAATGATGCTGTTCTAGGGCTATGTTTAGGCCTTCTTGATAACTACATTGGGTGCTACCCATGTAGAATGGTAAGGTCTGACGCAGTATCTATTTGCAATCTAAATGGATGCTCATTAATATTAAGAGTAATGGATTTTCTCTCACCTAGGTTGAACTTTGATAGAACGCTTATACTTATTTGCTTTATTTACTTACGCTTGTTATCCATCGTCGAGGAGCATAGGCCGCCCGTCATCACACTCTATACAACTTTATCCTGTGCAATGTATATTCCACAAGCACTCAGAAGCACGAACACACAAGCACACAACTCAGACGTATATGTATAGTACAAAAATGTGTTTAGGAGACGTCAAAAATAGCATATGAGAATAGACAAAGAACCAATAACATTTAAGGTCTTTTCAAGTGGAAAATACGAGCTGAATGTGAAATTAGGCGCTTTAAACGTGAAAATGAGAAAGTTAAACTTGCAAAACAGAATTAGAAATGAGACATTTACCACGTGATTTATGAGGATCTAGCATCCCTAACAAGATTTGAGAGATGTTTCATGAAAGTCCACACTTTAATACAATAGCATACGTTCTCAGTTTTAGAGTTTTCCAGAATTCTTTTTGTTGAGTCTAGAGAAAGTAGAAGTTTGAGAGGTCTAAATCATATAGGGCTGGTACTCCCAATTTGTAAGGTATATGTTAAGAAACACAAAGAATGCAGCTAATTGGTTGTGTCAATTATTAAAATAACTGTCACGTAACATCTGGTATCTAATGTAGGTTGCACAAATTGAGTAATTCACTACTGGGAGATACAATGCTAATTAGAAAAATCTTTAGGAAGGAGCCTATCAATCTACAGAAATTTTAACAGATTAAAGAAGTATATCTTTCTTTCAGTACTCAATATATACGAATTGACTGGTAAAGGTACATTGTAAATGATTAATTTGGTTTCAAATTTAAAACCTTAAAGTACACTGAACAGAATTTAAAAAAATCTGATTCTTGATGGTTACACACAATTTCAGGATGTCATAATTAAATTCCTCTAGTTTATTTTGATTTTGATTAAGTGCTCATTTGCGAAACCAGTAGGTCCTGGGTTCGAATCTCGCGGGAGGCGAGGTCGTGGATGCGCACTTCTGAGGAGTCTCACAATAGGACGAAACGGCCGTCCAGTGCTTCCAGGTTTTCCATAGTGGTCTAGCTTCAACTGACTCATGATCTTAACCATTGAAATTATTTTGATTTTGTTCTATTTATATGAAATTGTATTTAGATTTGATTTCACATATTTTCAACTATCGATAGTTCTTATATGATTTAGTTTTATAAAATTTTCAAATTTATCAGAGATATACACTAAACTGAAAGTACACTTCCATGTTATGGAATGTACAGTAGGTAGTGGACTTGTGGTTACACTTGTTCATTGCACAATTTTTAAAAAAATATATGCATAGCAACCATCTTGAACGTAACTTGAGTGCATGAATCTTTGTGTATGTGTATGCGTGTGTGTGCATATTTTCAAGTTTAAGTGATTTACTTGAACCAATTAATGGTTAGCTCACAATAAGACACATACATATATATGAAGAAACTATTAAATTCCTTTTTCACACCAATCAATTGTTAAAACATTGTTATTTCGTTTATTCTTTTACTTTATGAATAATTCATTATTCTTTATTGCATCTGAAGTTTCGTTTCTTTACGTTCATAGTTTCGTTTCTTGCACCGAGTAGTGAATTACTGGAATTCTCTACCGGAACACGTAATATCAACATCTTCTGTTAATATATATTCAAAACGAGATTAGACCTCCACAGCATTACAAACTGCTAGGATTAATATAGGTCGCTAGACTTCTTATCTTTATTACTGAAGACTTATCTTACAATTACTTTATAAACATTAAATTACATTGACAAGGGTTCAATCTTATGTATTATGTTTCTACTTCTTTAAATGATCAAACACTTTAAGTATATATAACTTGTGAAATGATTGATTCTATAGATAATCAATAAAATAAATGAAATAGAAACATGCAAAATAATAATTCTACAAATAATGATCATTTTAATGATTGTTATGAGGATATATCAAAATCCATTGAAGCAATTCAATCAAACCATTTAAATCAATCTATTAATAATAATGATATAACACGAGATATAAACGATACAAACAATAATGAATTGAATTTAATGAAACGATCCAATTCATGCAAATTGGATTCATTGAACACTTCTACATCATTACCATTGAAACGATCGTTTCCATGTGAAAAATCTCAATATCATATTGGTTGGAGACCAGTGACTGCATTTATGACAAATTTACAATCAAAATTATTGAATCATTCAAATGATTTAAAATCGGAACAACCAAATCAATCCACTGAACAGAAATCAAATATCAATCATTTAGGTCGATTTAATATTGGTTGTCCATCTGGATGTAATTCATCTATAGCTGATGTGATAGTCAATGAAGATTATGAATTCTATACAGATATGATACAGTCATCAGAATTATTAAATAATCAACAAAATCCTATTCAATCAGAATCAATTACATATAGAAATTGTCATCAATTACCACATTATATGGAAAATGATCATTTATCTAAAACTTGTACAGGGACTTCAAAAGCTCCAGTAATTGTAAGATTAAATGTTAGTGGTACAATATTTCATGTAAGACATAGTACATTAAAACGTGATCCATTTGTCTATGGTAAAATGTTAGAAGATGCTATATGGATTGCACAAACAAAAGAATATTATTTTGAAAGAGATCCAGAAGTATTTCGATTTATATTAAGTTATTTAAGAAGAGGTGAATTACATTTACCTCATGGAATGTGTGGTCCACTTGTTGAAAAAGAATTAGATGATTGGGGTATAGCATTAGGTTTAGATATTCAAAGATGTTGTTTAGGTCCAGTCATGGAAAGTAAATCAAAATTGGAATCTTTACATAGATTTGAAGAAAAATTAGAACCAGAAGCTGTACAACCAGATTATTGGATTCAGTAAGTGGATCAATCATATAATAATAATTTTAATATTAATCAATTATTATTATTATTATGTTTATCAATTATTGATTATCAATGAATTGGTAAATATTAATATTGTCACCAAGTTTATGGTTACTACACTTGTTTTTTTGATACTACTACTACTACTGCTACTACTGCTACTACTACTACTACTACTACTAACAATAATAATAATTGTCAATCTTATCATTCCTTCTACCGTAACCGTATGTGCGACAGTCAGTCAGTCAGTGACAACTTAGAATTTCATAGGTACGTACATCAGTATGTACATCCGTATGTATCTACACATGTTTATTACGTCACGGTTTCCTACTCACTGTGTTTTACTTTTTATCAACGGAACTTCCCTGAATGTAGGAATTAACTATTAGTATTATCATTATTCTTCATTGGTCAGCTAAATAATTTAATACACACAAAATCGTATTGGTAAAATATTTTATTTATTTATACAAATCAGTAGGTAGTTGAAAAATTAAGAGTAATTTAAATGAAATGAATTCACTTCATCTTACAATGTTGTTAATTGTGTAAAATAATATTATGAAAATTAGTGGTTGAAAACAATACTTGGTTGCAGGTACTTACCTACTTACTTACTTACTAACTTATGCCTGTTACTCCCAATGGAGCATAGGCCACCGACCAGTATTCTCCAATCCACTCTGTCCTGAGTCTTCCTGCCTAGTTCTATCCAACTGTTGGTCATTCTTCTCACGTCTATCTCTATTTCTTGACTCAATGTGCTTTTTGGTCTTCCTCTCTTTTTTTGGCCCTGAAGATTCCATGTGAGGTCTTGTTTTGTGATGCAGTTCTGTGCTTTCCTCAATGTGTGTTCTATTCACTCCCAAAGCTTCTTCCTGATTTCGTCCTCCGCTGGGATCTGATTTGTTCTCTCCTATAGCAAGCTGTCGCTGATAGTGTCTGGCCAACGGATCCAAATTATTTTGCATAGACAACTCTTATTAAACATTTGTATGTTGTGGATGATTGTTTCCGTAGTTCTCCAGGTTCTCGCCCCATACAGTAGAACTGTCTGGACATTTGTATTGAAAATTATGACCTTGCTGTTGGTTGACAATTGTTTTGAGTTCCAGATGTTCTGCAACTGTAGATATGCTGCTTTTTCTTTACCGATCCACTCAGGTACATTCAAATAATGAGCCTTGAAGTAGAATAAAACGCGCGTGCTGAATCTCATCGGCAACTACTAACTCACTTTACTAAAAATATTGAGGTAATCTACTTCGGATGCATATTTACGAAAAGAAACTGATAAGCTGAACTCCTCACCAACAATAATGGGAAGATTCAAAGATATAAATAAAACAACATAAGTGTCTTCGACAGGGTTGTTAATCGCACAGCCAATCCCCTTTTACTTGGCGTCAGAGCCAACAGTAGCTTTAGGAGGATTCCAACTATTTAGTGTTCACTTCTATTTATTTCAATGAAAATTTCTGTAACTAACCACTTTATAAGATAAATTTCTATTTTGAATTGATTCATTTCAAAGGAACTATTTAGTGGAGATTCATTCAATTGAAGTGTTTGAATTTAAACACAATTTGATTATGATATGGTGTCAAACTATCAGTTAAAATAGTTTGATAGTAATATATAATACTGATTACTTTTTAAAAGAGTAGGACGACATCTTAATAGTCTAAAGGTTGGGTAGTCGTGCACGAGACCGAAAGTCCTGGGTTCGAATGCCCTCTGCCAATAACACTTTTTAGAAGAGATTAATATTACTGTTTATTCAAGTTACATATACCAAAATGGTTGCAAAATCAGATGAATTCCAGCGGTGAAATGAGATCACAGGATAGACAGACATCATCATCCATTGCGAAACACTTGATTGAGACGGGTCATAAGGTTGATATCAAATCATCATTTGTTGTGTTGTACAAAAGCCTTCAAGGACGTATACTAAGGTTTATTGAAGCCTTGGCTATACGAAAACTGAAACCCCCTTTATGTGTTCAAAAATAATTTGTGCTTACACTTAACCTACCCTGGTAATACTGATTTACTATCTAGAGTGGTAATCACATTTGTTTTTGTGTACTTTAATATTTTCCCTTTGTTATGACTTACCCTTCATCTATCTAGTTGACCTTTTAATTTTCATACATAAATGTTCTTAACAAGTACATGTGTGATCAGATTGTTCGAAATGTATTGCGCAAACATATCACAAAATTCTGATAAACTACGTCTTCTCATTGCATTATCGAAATATATTTAATAGTTAAATTCATGTGTCCACTAAAGTTAAACCATCATAGAAAACCTAGAAGCACTGGATGGCCGTTGCGTCCTAGTGTGGGAACATTCAACAGATGATAAATGTTAGTTTTGTGGATTTTCTCGAGCTACTTACATCAGTGAAACAATAGGGTTCATTTTTTTCAAACCAACGTACATACTTTATATAAGTGAATAATAATAATGATAAGAGAATAAATATGGGGGAATTATAACATCTTTTGCTTATCTTTATTAATAATATATAGAGTGTGCATATTGACTTTAAAGAACTAACCTTATTGTTTGGATGCTATAAGCACCTGAAGTGAATTCATACAATACACGAATCCATATTAATTTAACACGTTATTTATTCTTGTTTTATCAACATAGGGTTGTGAAGACTGTTGAGTTTTAATTGAGATCATGAACGACTGAAAAACTGAAAACACTGGACGGTCCCTTCGCCCCAATTTGGGACTCCTCAGCGGTGATCATCCGCGATCCTATATGCGGGATTTGAAACCGAGGACCTTTGGTCTTGCGCGAACTCAAGTGCTTTCAGGTTTTAAATGGTGGTCTAATATTGGTCGGTTCATGAACTCAACTAAAAGTCAACAATCTTCAAAACCCTTTACTGATAATTATCATGTATCCACTGGTGACTAGCTTTGAGAGGAACTTCTCTGAGTTCTAGTTAGAAGCCGTGACCAGTGGAATTCAAACCTGTTGTGTGTGAGACAGATACCCACCGAAGACAATAAAACATGGTCGCTCAATATCGTGGATTGGTTGATATTAAACATTAACATCGTTGGATACCGGCTCAGTGGTCCAAACGTTTATCGTTTGCACCAGAGACTGAAGGCCCTGTGTTTCGAATCCCACTTGTGGAAATGTGGATGCACAGCAGTTCGTTCTGTCCTACTTTATTGCAGTGAAACGTGGCCGGTAACAGTAGAGGATATTCGTAGGTTTCTAGTATTCGATCAGGTGTCTTCGAAGCATTGCTCGTATATCCTGGGACCATCGAGTAATTAATGCAGTTGTTAGGAAACGGATACTAGGTAAGGATGACAAATCAATTGATGAAGTAGTGAAACTTCAACAGTTGAGATGACTGGGACACGTGTTACGTATGCCCAATTACCGACTGCCCCGACGAGCGATGTTTTGTGGTGTAGGAGTAGGTTGGAAGAAAGCTAGGGGCAGTCAGACCAAAACATGGCACAAATCCATGAAGTCACTGACAAGTGAACTGAGCCATGTTGGTAGGTGTAGACTACCTGATTGGGATCCGCGAGATGATAGCAACCGATGGATAGAGACCTTGAATGACGTGGCCCCAAATCGATTGCGATTGGGCAGGTGCATCCACTCTTTGTGTTTTCCCAAATTCTAATCTTCTGAATTCATGTTCCTTTTATCGTCTTTCCAAATTTATTTCACTGGATTATACTCCTTGGAAAACATCTTCAAGCCCTAACGTTTCCGATTACTGTTTATACTCTTACTACCTCTAACATTACGGGATTTGAATCGACAATTGTATCTGTGTACTAATGTGGTATGGCAACTCGAACTGATGTGCGAACCTACGAAGTTCTACGTTGTTACTAACTGACTGAGGTGTATACACGCTCTATCTTCCCTTAAACTGCGAGATTAAAATCGCTTCATATCTTTCTTTCTACGAACTAATACTATATCCTTATATGCACTTTTTCTTTTATATATTACCACCATTGAGTTAACTACTTCTATGAATCCGGTGTTATTATTATTATTATTATTATTATTATTATTATTATTATTATTAATGACTTTATTCAATATTATATTTTGGTACAATATAGAATTCTCAGCACAGGGTATTTCAACAAGTTACTTATGCAAACAAAAATAGTAACAAAGACAAAAAAAAGTTTAAAAAAAAATCTGAAAAAAACAGTACAACATTTAAAATTAAAGTCATGTTAAGAATGCAGGTTATTGGCTAGATTAACTCTAACAACCTGTTCGTCACAGAGTATATTTGCTAGATAAGGTATTATAGAACATTTGTACTTTTCCTTGCGTGCATGGATTTTAATGTAATTACGTCTCGTTCTACCAGAAGATATACAAGGAGAAAGATAAGAATGAAGGGGATGGCTAGTATCTGATAAAATGACACCTGCCAGGAGTTTGCATGATTTTAAATGTCTATCCACAACCATATTAATTATGACCTCGAAAGATTCACCACACACCTTGCTAACTGCCTTCAGCACTCTTCGCAATACAGCAAAGTCTTTTCTCAAAAGCCCGGGAAAGAATAATGGAGAACAGTAAAGAATAATAGGTAATATGCAAGAATTGACAAATTGTAAGAGAAAATGACGAGTAATTCCAAGAGCATGCAATCTCTTTATGTAGTAGGTCAGACGGAAAACCTTCTTTGATAACGATAAAACGTGGGAAGACCAAGACAGATCAGAGGAAAAGGTGACACCAAGATAATTGACCTTCAACACTGAGTTTATCAAAGAGTCTCCGATGGTACAAGCACTATGGGATCTCAAAATAGTGTTTATATTCCGTTTATGTCTCATGCTAAAGTTAACAGCTTGACATTTAGACGGATTAAGTATGAGACCATTACCAACAGACCAACAATCAATACGAGACAAAAACTTATACATTTCTATGGGATGTTGTGCCAATGAGGT